CGGGATTGCTATTGGAAGTAATGTTGAGCAATATAAGGGCACTTTGTATTAAACAAGGAAAAGAGCTTGCGAAGGTCAGGCGAGCTAAGGAGAGGGAGTTGGAGGAGATAGTATCCAATCTGGAACAAAAACTGGGTTCAAGCGGGCAGGATACGTTACAGAGATATCAACAAGCCAAATCTGAATTAGAAACGATAAAAGAGGAAGCGGGGAAAAAAGCTATGCTATTCTCAAAGGCAAATTGGATAGAGAAAGGAGAAAAACCATCAAAATATTTCTTGCGTCTGTGCAAAAAGCAAGCGACGGAGAGAGCAATATACGTGTTAGATGATGAACATGGTTCAACTGTGACGGGGGATAGGAGGATCCTGAACGCCTGCAAAACTTACTTTGAAGATTTGCACTCCTCCTGTAAAACAGCAAATAGAAACCTGGAGTTTGCAGACCGTATTCCTCAGCTGTCAGACCTAGAAAGAGAAACATGCGAGGGAATGATGACAAAGGAAGAATGCAAGAATGCATTAAATTTAATGTCAGGAAATAAAGCCCCATCAGTTTCCGGATTTACCAAAGAGTTCTTCCATTGCTTTTGGGATGAGTTAGGAGATCTGGTGACTGATTATATAAATCATTCATTTGAAACGGGATTATTATTTGTCACGCAACGCAGGGGATTAATTACACTGATTCCCAAAAAAGGAGACCAAAAGCAGTTAAAAAATAAAAGGCCAATTTGTCTCCTGGACGTAGTGTATAAAATCATTGCCAAAGTGCTTGCAGTGCGACTAGCAAGGGTTATTCATGTCCTGGTGAATCGTGATCAAAATGGGTTTATTAAAGGCAGGAATATTCGCGACAGTCTGAGAATTATACAAGACGTTATCGACTACACAGCAGTGGATAGACGTTCTGGAATTTTATGTGCCCTTGATTTCAAGGCAGCGTTCAATTCTCTTGAACATGATTTCATGTTCAATACGCTCGAGCGATTCAATTTTGGGCCCAACTTTACGAGATGGGTACGATTACTATATAATCAATCTGAGCTTGCCATTATTAACAATGGATTTACCTCGGACTGGTTTTCGCCTAAGCGGGGCATCATGCAGGGATGTCCCCTCTCTGGAATACTTTTTGCGCTAGCTGTGGAAATGTTGGCCTTAACCCGGCGGCCGCTGGGCCTCCGCGCCACCCGCCGGCCGCTGGGGGGGGGCATATAGTTGCCCCCCCTTTACTTCTGCGACGCTATCGTCGCAACGCGAAGAGATAGAGAAGCGAAACTTTGCACACACCTTCCTGAATACCTAGCCGAGGTTGTGTCCAAATTTGGTGTCGATCCCATTTGAAATGACGTCACAGTGACGTCATAAGTGAAATTATAGATTTGCGACTCTCATATTCCTCACGATACATCAGATATATGGGACCGAATATTAAGGGTCGATGATTGGTCAGAAACTAGATGGAAGTGTAGTTAGATGTTTTAGGATGACAGCAGGTGCTATCTAGTTCATTTACAGTTGAGTTTCATGCTCAGCGTCATCAGAAACGGTCCATATCGGAAAACGACAAAACTTTATGACGTCACTGTGACGTCATCTTAGGTGCTACAACCACCAAATTTTCCTCAAACATTGCCTAGGTATTCATTTGAAGCTATGCCAAGTTTCACGTTCGTAGCTCATCAGGTTTCGGAGATATTTCACAAAACGTAAAGGGGGGGGGCAACTTTATGCCCCCCCCCCCCCAGCGGCTCGTGGGTTAAAAATAAGAGCTTCAAATAGAATTAGAGGCATTTCCGTATCTGGAGTGGAATTGAAGTTGACCCAGTACGCAGACGATACTACGATTTTCGCAAGGGATGAGGCATCAGTTCACGAGCTGATACGGATCGTGCGAGAGTTCTCGGAAGTTTCTGGGTTAGAATTGAACCTAAACAAGACTAAAATTATGCGTCTTGGACCTTGTCAGGATTTGACGCAGCCAGTTTGTGGTATAGTGCCATCAGAGAGTATTAAGATTTTAGGTGTCTGGTTTTCCGCGAGCCGGCAGTGCTTAGATGACAATCTCGAACCTATATTGAATAGCATTAGGATAGTGCTTAATATGTGGTCTGAGAGGCATTTGAGCATAAAAGGGAGAATAACCGTTGCCAAGAGCCTTGCGGTATCAAAACTGAACTATGTGTTGGCATCTTTGGTAACTCCGCAACAGACATTGTGCAGGATTCAGAGCCTCATCATGAAATTCATCTGGCGCGGCCGTCCGCCGAAAGTCTCTCGAGATGTGCTCTACCAAACGGTGGAAGAAGGTGGGCTGGGTGCAACATCAGTGCATAGTTTACACAACGCGCTTAGATTAAGTTGGGTGGTGCGCTTACTGGGACATGAATCGAGATCTGGTGATATATTCCGATCTCGCATTGCCCCGTTTACGGTCAACACTTTTTTGAGAACTAGATTCAATGAACAGGTCTTGGAAAGATGTAGACTCAGCGACTTTCACAAAGATTTGCTCCGGAAATTCAAGAAGTTGTTCCACAAACCCTGCCCCGGTTCTAACGAAACAGTCCGAGAAGAGATTTTGTGGTATAATGAAAACATATTGGTAGATAACAGTCCTGTGTTCTTCCCTCGAATGTATCAGAAAGGAATAATATTCATTAACGACTTGCTTTCAACCCAGGGACAGTTAATGACATACGCGGAATTTTGCGAGAAATACAACTTTAGAGTGAACAGCCTTCTGTATCAAGGATTAATAAGGGCTATCCCTTCTGATTGGAAGTTATATTTACGGCGACCTGGAGACTTTCTTGATGTAGGACAGATGAGAGGGGCTGCTATTTGCTGCCGGATAGGATCAAAAGTAAAGCGGATCGTAAATTTAAGGACAAAAGAGTTATATCTTTTAGGTTTGACAAGTCAAAAACCAAAGTCTCTAATAAAGTGGGAAGCCGAGCATCTAGCCCCAGAAGCTTGGGACACATACCTTAAGATTCCATACACGTGTTGCGCTTCCACCCAACTTCAGTCCTTTCAGTTTCAGGTGTTGCACAGATATTTGCCAACTAAACGCTTTTTGCACGTCAGACGAGTCATAGACACGCAGAGTTGTGACTATTGTGGAGAATCCGATACTCTCGTACATCATTTATACAATTGTCCACCTGTGCACGCCCTTTGGATTAGGCTATTTCGTAATATGAACTCGAGAATACGACCTGCACATGTTCCGTGCGATGCTCGTTCCGTGTTGTTCGGTGCAACGCAGGTGCCATGTGTCATTAATGTCATCATTCTGTTAACGAAGCGTTACATACATGTTCAGCGTAGGGATGGTAGGACACTCGTGATGGCGCAGTTGAAATCACAGGTAGAACAGTTTTATGAGGCAGAGAGAATAATCGCGTTGAGAGAAAATCGAATGAAACAGTTTGCTGCCAAATGGCGATGTATTTATGTTGAAAATGGTATAGCGATATAACGCTTACGGTCGACCGGTTCGATCAACATATGATTATGGGTTGTGTAATGTGTTGCAGGCAGGCGACACATGTAATATCAAGATATGTTTTAGTGATGTGTTGTGCTTCGTATGTGTAAATAAAGTGAAAAAAACTCGAAAAAAAGGTCATTTCACGCTTCTGTGTGGCTGACGTTGGTCCATCGTGACACAGGTGACCTCGGTGACCTTGGGAGGTCACATGACCAATGGCCTATGGCAGCCATTCTATAACTCAGGAACTACTGTCACGATCGGCCCAGTAGTTCCTGAGTTATAGAATGGCTCCCATAGGCCACATTGGTCATGTGACCTCCCAAGGTCACCGAGGTCACCTGAGGTCATCATATTCGAAACGGCTGATGAAATCGCATACGCTGAATCGACTGGTGGTGTTTTCGTCACGATCGGCTCAGTAGTTCCTGAGTTATAAAATGGCTGCCATAGGCCACAGCGGTCATGTGACCTCCCAAGGTCACCGAGGTCACCTGAGGTCACCATATTCAAAACGTATAACGAAATCGCATACGCTGAATCGACTGGTGGTGTTTTCGTCACGATCGGCCCAGTAGTTCCTGAGTTATAGAATGGCTGCAATAGGCGTCAATGCCGAGTTGACCTCTTGAGGTCACCGATGTCACCTGGGGTCACGAGCTTCGAAACGGCTGATAAAATCGTACCTCCTGATTCGAATGGTGTTTAGTTCGTTCCGATCGGTCCAGTAGTTCCTCAATTATAGAATGGCTGCAAGTGTGGCGGTCGAATAGTGTTGTCCTTTGATCCGGGCTCTTGAAATGGTCACGTGACAATTCTCATTTTCACGGCCAGGCCCATGTCGTCCCCTATCTCTCTGCGTGTCCACTAACACGAATGACGTCACGCATGTGGGCGGAGCTATGGGCGGAGCCTAACGCACGCGGCAGTCCAATCCGCCATATTTGAATTTATATTTTAATAGAATCTTGCCGATATTTTGGGTGAAGTCAATTTATATGGATATCTTGGTGACAGTTTAGCTATACGAATAATAATTTATTATGGATGTGCGTATATTCAGCTTGGAATTGCAATTAAAGTTCCGCACCGCATAGATTCGAACTCGGGACCTTTGGAATACTGCGCGGGCACGCTAACCACTACACTACCGCGACCGCGCGGCGGCCGGCGGCAGGGAGGCTGCGGAGACATGGGGGGACATTTTACGCTTTTGTGAAAAAAGCAAAAGATTTAGCGAAAAACACGTAATAGATAACTTGCAGAAAATTGTCTGCTCTTTTAGATAAGATACTTAAGTTTGATATATCTTGTGCAGACTTCATTCTACAGTGCTTCGAAAATCGCTCATTTACATGGGGATTGAACGGGACTTCGAGACTTGACTCCAAATGACGTCACGAGCTGACGTCACGAAAAGGTAGAATCGCCGGACGACCCTACCTGGTATATAGGGCCTTGTTCACGGCATGTAAATGTATAGAATCACACGGTGACTGTAAATACGGTGATCTGATCTGGATTTGGACTATAAATATCATAGAATGCCAAATACAGGACGCTGTGATGGCCCGTAAGCCACAAATACCATACCAGAATATCACGTGACTTATATGCCCTACGGCGTCCTGTTTTTTCCACCGTCTTGAGTGGTGTGTAAATCGTGTTATTTGACATATTCGCACGGTTTTGTCTGTAATTGTGTTGTTATTTGCTATCATTTACGGCCTTGTTCCAAGTGATTGTGCTTTAAGACCTATCAATTTTTATATTTACACTGAATAAGGTCAAGGTTTAATTTGAAATGGCCAGATTTCTTCCACCCAGTCTGAGAAGACATCCGATTCCGGTTATCTCATGTCCGCTTAATTTCATGTCATGTCAATTCCCACGACTGTCAAAGAGCATTACCAATGCTGCAAGTTTTTCATCTCAACCTACCAGACAGTTCGGGCTGTCAGCAAGGTGAGAAACTAGATTGACATGATGGAATGCATGTTATTTTATAAGAAATGCCTAGCTTGAGCTTGAATTTTAATTTGTTTTCAATGTTTGAAGGTAAGGAAGAGATCGGCCTCTTACACCAAAATAGCTAGGTAGAATCGGCAAAATACATACCTAGTAAATCTAGAACTACCTATGACTGTAACTTATCTTGCACCATCCTACCTACCTACCTAGGTAAATTTGAAGCCCACGTTTTTTGGATTTGTTTTGATTGGCTGTTCGGCAACAAATTTTTGTGGGCACAAACAAACTGTGGTAAATGTCAAGTTTAAGTCCTAAGAAGATTTCATTGATAAATTTTTCATATTTATACATTATTTGACATCCTGAATCCAAAAATGATACTCATATGTCTCGCAAATAAAAGAAAAAAACATAATCAAACCTGACCTAACCTTACCTACTTACCTATAACCTACCAACCTACAACCTACAAACCTACCCTAACCTAACCTAACCTACAAACCTACCTACCTACAACCTAAAACCTACAAACCTACAACCTAACCTAACCTAAAACCTAAAATTTTTGCTGTTTAATATTCGTATCAAAAGCGCCACAGTTGTAGTTAGGACCTAAACTTGACATATACCCAAACGGTACCTGCAAAAACTAATAAATGCATATTTTCTTATAAATTTATTTTTTGGTATCATGAAATCATTTTTCATTCATGTGAATACTGATTAAAGTTGCCTATTAAAACAAATAACTTTGTTTAGATGGTAACGAGTGAGTCTTCAATGTGGCTGTTTTGTTACGAAGGTTTACTGCCTTGATAGGTATGGAGAAGCACCTTGGTGTACCCAATACCCTTGGAGAATTTGCAGGTGTGTACCTACCCCAAAACCTAAATAACCCAAAACCTAAACCTAAACCTAACCATGCTTACTTAATGCTAAACAATCAGGTGCCTACCTGTGGTGATTCAGAAACAATGCCTGATTGTTTTGGTGTAAAAAAAAATGTCTGATGCTAGGCTTTTATTAGCAACATCTGAAACACAAGGCACGGAGTGTAAGACACACGTCACATACGACACTACCAATGGCATTTGCAGACCTGAGAGGCAGCCAGCAGGTGCTTTAGTAAAAAATTAATTTTTTCCTAGGTACCTACTTATGTTTGATGTGCCACTGAAAAAGTCACGCCATTCTAATTTTATGAAAAGCTGCACAGCTGTGAGCTGGGTGTCAGACAGTGGTGTATCCAAGGGGGGTCCTGGGGTCCAATGACTCCTAGGACCCCCTGGAGCCTAGAAAAATGTTTGTTTTAGCTCGAAAAATTTAAAGTGACCATCCCACCTTAACATTAGTTTTGAGTTGAGATAGCCAAAATGGGGTCCCTGGCTTGCACTTACCGGTTTGAGCACTCACAACATCGAGAACTTCCTGAAATCGAAAATATTATTTAATTTCAAAGTTGCAGGGCTTTGGATTCAGAGGGGCTAATATTGCTTCCAAATAAAGTCGCTAGGAACAGCGGAGAATCCAAAAGTAAACAAAAGTTAAGTCTAATATCTTGAAAGCCGGTGAATATTTTTCGGTGAAATTTGGTAGATATTCGTTTTCGCTCTTTCTGAACCGAGCGACATCACTTTCATGCCAATCCATTAACTTTTTTGAAGGTGGGAGGGTCCCTTTAACCCTCGCCGTCCGAGGGGCGGGGGGCGGGTGCTTCCACAATCGTTTTTTTTTTCTCGCGATAGCTCCGAACACGCTGGCGATAGAGAGCTGAAACTTGGCATACCTGACCTTTGATTCAAGCCGGATCTTTTGACATCAACCGCATTTTCGGGTCAGGTCAGGTCACTGACCTATGACGTCATAAGTGAACCTCTGCACAGTGTTCAGATGTCGCAACTTCGCAACGCCCTCACTGCCAGAGGAGCTTTCACAGGGAAATGAAACTTGCAGGATCTAGTATCGATTACGAGTGTCACACCTTGTATATGTCGGATTTTTCCTAAAGGTCATATGAGGTCAGGTCGTCATTTTCGTGACCTCACCATTTTATAATGGTCAATGGGGTCAATGGGGGAATGGTCAATGAGGGAAAAATGAAAATTGCTATCCTGGCGCCGGGAACGATTTCTAACTATCTCAAGCACACAGAATCGTCATTTGATGCACTCCTTGCATTGCTTACCTTGCGTGACGTCATTTATGACGTCATCAAGGTCATATTAGTTTTTTGTCAATAACTCCCGATCAAATTGAGCTAGCGAGTCGGGAAAGCCACCAATGGACTCAGGAAGACCTGCCGAATCGAATGATATGCAACATGACCTCTTTCGACCAACTTCGTGACCTGGGGGTGCTGACCTGACCTTGACCTGAGGTCAACACCGTAAGTTGACCTGACCCGAACCAAAAGTATATCATTCGACGCGCCTGAGCGAGGCGAACACGATGCTGCCAAAATCGCGGCTCTGCGGCCGTTTTTTGCGAAGTTATTCACCAAAAACCGAACCGTACCTTGGGGCACTTGACCTGACCTCAGAGGTCACCGGTTGACCTAGGACCTTAAAATCGGGTACCAATCTCTTCGTTTCGTATTTTTTCCGCGACGCGCTAGCTCCACCAGGGGCGAAACGGCGAGGGGGGTCGTACCCGCCCCCCCTTCGGCCGGCGCTTATGTAGAAAACCAATAGGTCCGGCGAGGGTTAAAGGGACCCTCCCACCTTCAAAAAAGTTTATGAATTGGCATGAAAGTGATGTCGCTCGGTTCAGAAAGAGCGAAAACGAATATCTACCAAATTTCACCGAAAAATATTCAACCGGTTTTCAAGATATTAGGCTTTTACTTTTGTTTACTTTTTTTGGGATCTCCGCTGTTTCTAGCGACTTTATTTTAGAAGTGCGGCGTTTGCGGCAGATGTTGCGCGCAAATAGCATATACCACCGCGCGCTACAAAACGTTTTAGTCAAACATTTAAAAATCGTTAGATATTTGCGCTGACGTCACACATTCAGAGGGGTATTCCTAAGCATTAGCCCCTCTGAATCAAAATGCTGCAATTTTGAAATTCAATATTTCCGATTTGAGGCATTTCTCGATGTTGTGAGTGCCGAAACCGGTAATTGTGAGCCAGGGACCCCATTTTGGCTATCTCAACTCAAATCTAATGTTAAGGTGGGAGGGTCCCTTTAAAGCGTCATAACCATTGAAGTTTTAGACATATCACCACGAGACAAAGTGTGAAATGGAGGGAATAGATCAGGCTTTAATTTGAGGATAACAATATTGACGTAATTAACCAATTAGTGAACTTAATTAGAATTCAAAAAACAAGTTTTGATTTTCTGAAAAATGGGTACCCTTCGATTTTGCTGATTTTTACATAATTTACTCTCCTATGCATTAGCTACATCATATAAAAAATCCAGAATGGGCCGACGTCTACGTAACTGTCTTTTGAACTTCGTAATGTCTGGCACTCGCGTGTTTCGCTTTAGCAACCAAGGAGAGGCGCTACCCGAAGATGCTTCTTTCTACCCCAAACCAAAGCAAACCTAGCCTGACCTGACGTAACATGACCTAATCTAACACGCGTAAATATATACAGCCCTCACGGCAGTTGCCGACTGGCCAAATGCTACTTAGATACGAACATTAGCCCTCACGACATTTGCAGGCTGGCCAGATGCTACTTAAAAAACGAATGCGTTTTAAAACACTTGAGGCTGACCGGCTGCGAGGCAGCGACCTTTAGATTACGAGGTGGGTACACTCGGCACACTAACTACTAAGCCATGAAGATAGATGGTCATCGCGGAGATGTAAGCCAGTTTTTTTTTAGATGATGCCATTGGGCATTCTCCGGGCAACGCCTCTCTTTGGTTGCAAAAAGGAAATACGTCTGACTCTCCCAGCGTTAGGGGAGAAAGGCCCGGTTTAACCAAAAAAGGTATTTAAAAAACGGAATTTGAATTGTAAGTGGGGCGGTGGTGAACTTTATCGTGTGCCAATTTCATGGCCCTAGATCAATATCTTCAAGATCAAATGAGGTTAAGCGTGATCAAATTTGCTATAGTGACTATTTTGCGTTTATACGCCAATAGCTAGCTCTAAAGAGTTACTGGCCGATTTTCCTATTTCTTCCTTTATACGACATTTGTAGTGTTATGATAATCTCTAGTTAATCTAACCATAAATTTGGTAGTTAGTGGCCTGATAAGAGTAAGATGTCGCCGGCAGAGGCGGGGATCGGCCGACGCGGGAAACGTTTCAGTCAAAGATTTTGTTTGCACACTTTCAATTTTTACCAGTTGATTTTCGTATTCATTTGACCATTAGATTGCGTGTACATTTTTAAGCCTTCATACAAAATTTGACACGAATCGATCATAATCAGCGGTAAGAAGCGCAGTGCAAAGATGGGACAGTCCCGCGCCGGCACAGTCTACCATTCAGGCGGCAACGGCCGGCGCCGTCCGCCGCGCCGCTCCGGCAAGATGTTTGACTTTACACCGCTATTACTAGAAAAGTTGTGGACCGATTTACCTATTGCTTGCACGGGAGGATTTGCAATTCAATTCTGGACAGATGCTGAAAGTTTGACGTTAATATGATAATTATGGCGTGAGTTATTGGCGAAAAACAGGTGGGGTTGGCGAAATCCGCCCCTTCCATCGGCCGTGCTACGTTGCACTACTTGTTGCTATATCATCCAAAGTTATCGTTGGCCCACTCTAATTTTCTCAGCACGTGTGCGTTACGTGTATTGGAAGACAATATCTAAATTTGAGCAAAATTGAAGGGTACCCATTTTTCACAAATTATATTTTAAGAAATTAAATCAAAATCGAATAAATTCATAATCACCAAAAAATGTAAAAATTGCCAAATTGAACTAGCATAACTCCTTGTGTACACGTTTCAGTTTGCTTGAAATTAATAGCTTAAAAATGTTGAAGCTATAGATCTTTCAAGATTGCAATACACGTCCAATTCTGCCAAAAAAGCAGAAGTTAAGCGGCTTGTATCTCTGTAGCCCGAGGGCATATGACAAAATCCTTTCACCCTCAGAGGTTTCACCCAATAGCCAATAAGTATAACAAGTTTGAACAAAATCGCAGAGGTGGCCGATTTTGGCTGTCCCGGTTGACATCCTGACACGATGATTTTTTTTTTTTTACTATACGAAAATGGCAGTTCACCCCGCTGATCCCCAAGTACCTATGTGTTTGTCTCTTCCTTATTGTCGTTTGATAAATTCCATTTATCCTACATGTATCAAATTACCAAGAAGTCATCGTAGTACTTATCAGTGGCGAATCCCAGGGGGAAGGTCACATGGGTCATGACTTAGGGCCTGGGGTCACCACATGCCTGCCAGGAGCACCACAGGCCTGACAGCCGACAGGGGCACCACAGGCCCGCCAGGGATGCCACAGGTCTAGCAGGGGCACCACGGGCCTGTCAGTGGCACCACAGGCCTGTCAGGAGCACCATCGGCCTAGCAAAAGCACTACAGGTCTTCCAGGGGCACCACAGACCTGCCAGGGGCACCAGAGGCCTGCCAGGGGCACTATCGGCTTCGCAGGGGAACCACCGGCCTCACAGGGGAACCACCGGCCTCGCAAGGGCACCATGGGCCTGTCAAGGGCACCACAAGCCTGTCGTTGGCAATTTAGGATTGTCAGAGGCACCACAAACCTGTCAAGGGCACCTGCGTTCTAACAGGGGCACCACAAACCTGCTAAGGCCCAGGGACACCACAGGCCTAGCAAGGAATTGTATTAACCTAGGTCAAACCGATGACGGCACAGGTCAGGTCAAAGGTCGAATTTTCACCGTTTACAGGCATTTCGAGAAATGCGTTGTAAAATCGAGTAAAATGCATTTAATTGAAAATCATCGATGGGGGAAATGTTCTTCAAACACATATTTTGCTATTTGAGGTCATTGATTCCAGGTCAGGTCACAGAGGTCAGGTCACTGAGGGTCACAATATGAAAATATCATGTGATGCATGTTTTATGGTCCATTTTATATGCCAAATACGATTATGTGGGTCAGGCAGCCTTTGGAGTCAGTTAAGATTATGTTCTGGTGAAGGTCAGGTCAAGGTCAGGTCAAATTAGGTCAAATTTCAAAGTTGATATTTTTGCATAAAATGGGTATCGATTCGATGCAGTTCGTCACGGGGAGTTCAATGGTGGTCTTTGTTTTGCGCTACGTGTTCTAGAATTGCTAAAAATTGAGTTCAAAAATTTGACGTCATCAATTTTGAAGTTTTTTTTTTGCTATAACTTGGCCAAAAAAGGAGGTATCGATCTAAAATTTAGTATGTATTGTTGTGCTCGGTCGCTCCGCTTTGTCGGATAATCCGACGACCTCGCCGTCCAGCCTCAGCAGTAAAAAGTGTGTCGCTCTTTGTGCCTGTATTTGTGCCCCGCTAATACCAGTCAGGCCGACAGTCCCTTCGCTTAAAGGAAATAGTTCACTTTCACGAAATTATTTTTTTTTGCAATGGATTTATGATTTTTTATGTTCAAAATGATCAGCAAAGAAAATAAAACCTATTTATAACAAAAGATTATTTTCTATATTTTGATATAGGAAGAACTTTTCAGTTTCTGTAAGGCACAGGCGATCCAGTATGAAAAGAGCATGGGTCCCGAAAATTCTTCAGAAACTAGAGAAAATATCGCGGCCACCGGCATTTGGGCGATCTGCTGCTGCTGAATGTCCTTATTGATCAGTACGAGAATTTCTCTAGAGTTCTCGTAGATAATTTCTCTAGTTTCTGAAGAATTTTCGGTACCCATGCTCTTTTCATACTGGATGCAAATATATGCAAGGCACACATCCTCAACGCAAGACACCTTTTTCGGGACGAGAAATAGAATATCTTTGCCTAGGGTGATCGTTGGGCTGTAAAAGCTCCTGATTTATGCTCGTCTCAGCCCAGGCTACGGAACTGCTATTCCAGTTCAAAACCCATGTTAAAAAGTGAACTATTTCCTTTAAAGGGACCCTCCCACCTTCAAAAAAGTTTATGAATTGGCATGAAAGTGATGTCGCTCGGTTCCGAAAGAGCGAAAACGAATATCTACCAAATTTCACCGAAAAATATTCGCCGGTTTTCAAGATATTAAACTTTTACTTTTGTTTACTTTTTTGGGATCTCCGCTGTTTCTAGCGACTTTATTTTAGAAGTGCGGCGTTTGCGGCAGATGTTGCGCGCAAAAAGCATATACCACCGCGTGCTACAAAACGTTTTAGTCTAACATTTAAAAATCGTTAGATATTTGCGCTGACGTCACACATTCAGAGGGGTATTCCTAAGCATTAGCCCCTCTGAATCAAAATGCTGCAATTTTGAAATTCAATATTTCCGATTTAAGGCATTTCTCGATGTTGTGAGTGCCGAAACCGATAATTGTGAGCCAGGGACCCCATTTTGGCTATCTCAACTCAAATCTAATGTTAAGGTGGGAGGGTCCCTTTAACCCGGGGCCCGGAACAAACCCGAGTCCCCCAAACCCACTGGTTCCCACCAAACAGGGCTGCCGTGGATTTCCCACGTCGGACGTCCCGGAATTACCCGAGGCCGGCCGACGCAAGAATGGTGAACGGCGGAATCAGTCGCCGGTGGCTCTCGGACCACACCCGAGGCACCTCCGACAACCCAACCCGCGGCACAAATCTCGTTCCCCACAGCCCGGGCGATGTACGACTGAGCCGCTACCCCAGGTCGCACAGCACACGGGCAGCAGAGCGGCAAAATGGCTGGGTCCGGCAGCACCTCTGGAGCAACCCAGGCAGCAGCACCGGTCAGCGGACGGGACAGGAGCCCTCCCAAAACAGTCAACCTCACAGGTGTCCCCGACACCTACCCGGCCACAGCCGCGCACACACTGACCGCCGCCGCCGGCACGCACCGGTCGTGACCTCGGGTCAGACGTCACCACCAATCACAGCGCGGTACGGATACAAACTCGGCGCACGGTACAAAAGCAAAGTGACGACAGTCAGGGACCGGCCCGGACTCGAACCGGCAACCACCGACTGATCACGCCGGCCAAACGTCCAGACACCTTACCCACTCGGCTATCGGGGATATATGGGACGTGGCCGCACTCCAATCACCAAACATCAGTATGACACCCATTCAGTGTCCATTACAGTATATAGAAGAGGCAGGGACTATCACATATGTTCCGTTTTTTTTCGAAATTCTGATTTTTTATTTTTTTTTAAGTTTTCTAAACAATTGAATTTTTGGGGTTCAAAAACCCAAAATTTTGAAAATCTGAGATAGCAGTTTTGTAGCGCGGCTTTTTGTCTACATGAACATATAAAGAACTTTGAAATTGCTTGGTAACTGTAGATTTGGTGAGCGTTTCAAGATTGCATGTTTTTTGCTCATTTTTGCTCGAACATGACCTCAGTTTGACCTCAATAACTCCTGACCTAAGGTGACCTAAGACTTGAAATTGTGTGTGAAGGTGTCAGATTGATGCCATTTTCTTGCTATTCAGGAAAAACCACAGGCGGGGGGACCAATTGCCCCCCCCCCCCCCCAGCGGGTCGAGGGTTAAGTCACCAATATCAAAATTCCGAGATATGCATTTTAACAGAGTTACTGTTGCCCTTATCGATTGCTGAAAGTTTTAAAGCGATCCGTCACTCGGTGTAGGTACTTCACTATATCAAGCATTGGAGCTTTTTTCTGAGTTCGGGTCACTTGGCGTGACCTGGTGGCCTGACCTTGAGAGACCTTGGTCTGAAATTTTATAACATGTGATGGGAAGATGAAGGAAAGGATGCGCCTAAACTATGTAAAAAAAAACAATTACTCGCGAAAAACCGCAGGGGGAGCACGGAGATGATCGACCCCCCCCCCCCCCAGCAGGGCGCGGGGTTAAAGCCCTTCCAACTCAGGCTACACAAGGAACCTTTTGACACTTAAAGGCCCTTTCAAACCAGTCATTCAAGGGCCCTTTTGACTGCGGACCCCCCTCCCCCTGAGAGAAATCCTAGATACGCCACTGGTGTCAGATGAATGTGAATTGCGGTGTAGCAAGGGATAGTGCATTATTGCCATCTACATTATTTTCTCTTTGTTGTTTCTAAAAAAAAAAAAATGTTTTTGTTCGCAGTTCGTCATCGGAGTTTCGCCCACCCCCATCTCAGATGCTGAAGCTCACGGACATTGGATCTCGTCCTCTGTTCAATTCTGATCATGACATATTTAGGCAAGCTGCTCGCAAGTTCTTTGATGCTGAGGTTAAGCCATATCACGCACAGTGAGTATTGGGCTACCTCCTTTGAAACCAGGACCTATTGAGCAGTTTTTGTTTTTACTTTCATTTCATGATACCCATCAATTCTTATTCATACGTCTAGCTTGTACGGCTCTCGCGAGATTAAGCGGTAGGTTTTGCACTTATACATTTCCGGTTATATCTCAGAAAAAAATGAATACAAGAAACTAATCGATCTAAGATGAAGCCACTTAACACGATCATAGCCGGCTTGACCTGTACACTCACTCAATGTACGTACAGTGACGTTATCCTAGTTCACTTAAGATAAATATCCTGTGTTAACTGCAAGGCTGTGTGCTATTCACTTTATCTTGGGCTTTGAAAGAAAAAAGGTTATATGTTTAAGGTTGACACGTGTTGCCCTTGTTGCTGTAGGATATGAAGCCTGGAGCTATTCAGTGTTATTGCAATCTGTTGAGTAAGCAGCGACATCAAAATGCTTGTGATGTGTGTAGGTATGTAGATATTTGTGTTCACAACTTCATTATTCTTGCAGGTGGGAGAAGGACGGCCAGGTTTCGCGCGAGGTGTGGCTGAAGGCCGGAGAGCAGGGTCTCCTCGGGGTCAATACCCCGGCCGAGCACGGAGGCATCGGAGGCGACTGGCTGGACGCTACTATCGTCCTCGAGGAACAGTAAGCTCGTGTTTGCAAGCATTTAGGTTCTACGAGCAGTGATCTTATGGTACAGCTTTGAAGTGCCACACTTTCTCATGACTGGTGAAAATCTTTTGCTGACTAATCGTGCGTGTACATTTGCAGGGCATATAGCACGTGCAGCGGGCCTGGCTTTGCGATACATAGCGACATTGTGATGCCATACATCTCTCACTATGGCACACCGGAGCAGATCCAGCGTTACATTCCGGGACTGACGGACGGTACAAAGATCGGCGCTATCGCCATGACCGAACCGGGAGCGGGCAGGTACGTACTCGCGAAAAACCGCGGCGGTAGGTGAGATTTGTTTGGTTACGGCGACTGTTGGTGAAGGCCAGACACAGAGCGTTATGTTAAAAAAAAACTTTGTTGTCAAGGGATATCTAAATGTGTTGTCACTTATCTCAATGCCAATTATTTCATCACATTTGTGGTATAAATTAGCATTGTTGTCTTTTAACAGTGACCTTCAAGGAATTCGCACAACGGCAGTGAAGGACGGCGACGACTACATTCTGAACGGCAGCAAGGTATTCATCACCAACGGCTACATGTGCGACGTGGTGATCGTGGTGGCCATCACCAACCCCTCGGCCAAGTCGCCCGCTCACGGCATCAGCCTCTTCCTCGTGGAGGAGGGCATGCCCGGCTTCCGTAAGGGCAAAAAGCTAAACAAGATGGGCATGAAGGCGCAGGACACTGCCGAGCTGTTCTTCGAGGACGTGCGCCTGCCCAAGTCGGCCCTGCTGGGGAAGGAGAACGGCGGCTTCTACCAGCTGATGCAGGAGCTGCCGCAAGAGCGTCTACTCCTCGGCATCAGCTCTATGGCTGCGAGCGAATGGGCCTTTGAGGAGACCCGCGAGTACCTTCTCAATAGGAAGGCCTTTGGCAAGACACTCAGCAACCTGCAGGTCGGTGATTTGCCGTATTTTTTCTGAAGATACTTTTTCTTTTTTGTAAGACTAAAGTGAACCGTTTGAAATGTTTTTCTTGGAGCGACCTGAGTTATTCACCATTGTCGAATAGGTTTTTCAACCAGTTACAGCATGGAACAAAAACTGTTTGATTGACGCATTGCCTGTTTTAAATTAGACGATTCAGCACCGTCTGGCGGCGATGAAGACCGAGCTGGTCGTGAACCGCGCCTTCACCGATCAGTGCATCGAGCTGCACAACCAGGGCAAGCTGGACGGCGCCATGGCCTCCATGTGCAAGTACTGGATCACGGACCTGCAGAACCGCATCACTTACGAGGGTGTGCAGCTGCATGGTGGCTGGGGCTATATGTGGGAGTACCCTATCTGCAGAGCATACGTCGACGCCAAGGTTAGCATACCAAATGTTTCTTAACCATTTGCGACTTTGCCGGTCGGGCAATTGAGCAATTGGTTATTATTTGTCATCTGCATAACTGCATAACATTACATTGATATTATTTTCCTAAATATTTGAGCGAATACCTGTTATTATTGTTGTTGTCGTTTTTATATTTATATTGTCTAATCCACCTCTCATCGTTCCAGGTGCAAACAATTTATGGAGGAAGTAATGAGATTATGCGAGAACTGATAGCCCGGTCCATAGTGTCGAAGAAGTGAGCTCGGAGCTATGGAAGTAACGTTTTATGGTGAAAAGGTGAAGTGCAATATGTCAGCATAGATTTGTTGCAGAAATGCACGGGAAATTGAATGTATATAGACAACGTCGCCATGTTATGTAGAAATATGTGATGACTGATGATAATCCTCTTCTGTCATGGATTCTGCTCTTGCTTGATGCCAACGCATTAAAACATCGAATTATTCTCACACTGCCGTTGATAAGGTAGGTACCTGCTAATTAAGCATTTTCAAATAGTTTTCATTTTCATAATTTATAGCATATTTGGTAACTAACCAGAACAAATATTTTATAGATAACTTGACCATTTCCGAACGATAGCCTGTTAACCATTCAGCACTCCAGCGTGTCTGTCGTAAGGTTGTCTTTTTATCTGTGCTTACACCAACTGTCTTCGAATGTCATTGATTTATTTGATATCTTGGTATGTCAAAGGTTCATGTGCCTAAATGACCTCGATGGCAGCTCCTTTTAAGAAAACTAGTGCTTTTGAAAACGTAGCTTTTTGAAGTCTTTGCGGTTCGTGGTGATAAATATCTAGGTACGGCCCTCCAGGTATTAAGTGGTTGGTTGCCAGCATCACAATAAACGATCTGCAATACCGAATATGTCTAGTGGCTGTTGAAAACCATTGCCGAAGTGTGTGCACGAACCCTCTTCTCATTTCTATTAAGTCATTTTACAGGAGTATCTCTGTCATTCAAAAATATCACACCAAAAGCACATAGGCTAACCAACCACTCTTTTGCTGGAGGGCCGTTCATAGTACATACCTCCTAAGTTTCGCATCCAATGTCGATGTTGTTAGTTGAATTAGATATTCAAGCTGTATCTCTTTTTAGTGTGATGAAATAAACACGTTCAGCATGTGGTGCGCCTGTCTTATTCGTTGCCTTGTCCCTTAGGATATGCAATGACCACGTCCACGCAGTAGCGGCGGAACACCTTCAATTAAGGGGGGGGGGGCACTGCCGACTTTTGGTCCCATTCTTTCCATGCAACGCCCATAGGGCTAATGTTAAAATGCCAAAATCGGGGGGCACGGTGCCCCGGTGCCCTCCCCGTTCCGCCGCCTATGCGTCCACGTGTGTCGCCGGCCGACACGGGGCTTCCCGCCGGCCGGTGCAGACCAATTCGCGCGCCGATTTGTTGTGACGGCGCCAGTGACGTCGCTACCCAGCTCCGGTGCTGGGTTAGTCATTGTGCTGCCCCCAGCCTGGGGGTGGCACAGGGCGCGCCTGTGAAGTGAACTTTGATTCGTTGTCATTTGTCTCGTCCCCTATCACGATGCAACCGCGACCCGCGTGTGTCTGCATTCTGCCGCATTGCGGCCCAGGACGACCAATCCGCACGCCGAACCGTTGTGACGAGGCTACCCCGCCTCCCTGCGATGGGGGCGGCTGCGGCGCGACAGCGCGGTCGTGGAACCGCGCGGGAATTCTTGCCCAATAGTTCCTGAGTTATACATAGAATGGCTGAAATAGGCGAACACGTAAAGTTAACCTTTTGAGGTCGCCGAGCTCACCTAAGGTCACCATATTCGAAACGGCTGATGAAATCGCATACACTGAATCGACTGGTAGTGTTTTCGTCGCAATCGGCCCAGTAGTTCCTGAGTTCTAGAATGGCTGTTATAGGCCACAACGGTCATTCGACCTCCCGGCTCCCAAGGTCACCGAGGTCACCTGAGGTCACCATATTCGAAACGGCTGATGAAGTCGCATACGCTGATTCCACTGGTGGTCTTTTCATCGCGATCGGCCCGGTAGTTCCTGAGTTATAGAATGGCTGCAATAGGCGAAAACGTAAAGTTGACCTTTTGAGGTCACCGAGGTCACCTGAGGTCACCATATTCTAAACGGCAGATGAAATTGCATACGCTGAATCGACTGGTGGTGTTTTCGTCGCGATCGGCCCAGTAGCTCCTGAGTTATCTAATGGCTGCCATAGGCCACAACGGTCATGTGACCTCCCAAGGTCACCGAGGTCACCTGAGGTCACCATATTCGAATCGGCTGATGAAATCGCATACGCTGATTCGACTGGTGGTCTTTTCGTCGCGATCGTCCCGGTAGTTCCTGAGTTATAGAATGGGTGCAATGGGCGTCAATGCCAAGTTGACCTCTTGAGGTCACCGAGGTCACCTGGGGTGATCTTCGAAACGGCTGATAAATTCGTACCCTTTGATTCGACTGGTGTTTCGTTCGTTCCGATCGGTCCAGTAGTTTCTGAGTTATAGAATGGCTGCAAGGGTGGCGGTTGAATAGTGTTGTCCGCTAGACGCTTCCCCAAAATAACGTCTGTCAATTCAGCAACAACAAATATCAGCCTCACAGCAGCATATTTCGGGGTGTTTAAATTTGCCTCAAAATTGGTACATACGGCCTCCTCGATACGCTGATTCCGAAAATGTACCTCTTTGGGGTGGTATTTTGCACCGTTAACGAGTTAACGACCAATTAACGACAACATTTTAACGGGAAATGGCGGGGTCTTTCGATTTGGCTGAAAATCGGCATACAGGGCCTCCTTGATGCGCTGATGCCGAAAATGTACCTCTTTGGGGTGGTATTTTGCACCGTTAACGAGTTAACGAACAATTAACATTTTAACGGGAAACGGTGGGGTCTTTTGATTTGGCTGAAAATCGGTATGCAGGGCCTCCTCGATGCGCTGATTCCGAAAACGTGCCTCCTAGGGGTGGTGTTTTGAACCGTTAACGAGTTAACGGCCAATTAACATTTTAACGGGAAACAGCGGGGTCTTTCGATTTGGCTGAAAATCAGTGTACAGGGCCTGCTCGATGCGCTGATTCCGAAAATATACCTCTTTCGGGTGGTATTTTGCACCGTTAACGAGTCAACGACCAATTAAAATTTTAACGGGAAACGACGGGGTCTTTCGATTTGGATGAAAATCGGTATACAGGGCCTCCTCGATGCGCTGATTCCGAAAATGTGCCTCTTTGGGGTGGTATTTTGTACCGTTAACGAGTTAACGGCTAATTAACATTTTAACCGGAAAGGCCGGGGTCTTTCGATTTAGCATAAAATCGTTGTACAGGGCCTCCTCGATGCGCTGATTCCGAAAATGTGCCTCTTTGATGTGCCTCTTTGGGGTGGTATATCGAAAGACCCCGAAATATGCTGCTGAAATCGTGTTGCTGAAATGATAACGGGTCGTTAACTCGCTAACAGTGCAAAATGCCACCCCAAACTGGTACCTTTTCGGAGTCAGCGCATCGAGGAAGCCCTATATACAGATTTTCAGCCAAATCCTCCGTTTCCCGTTAAAATGTTAATTGGTCGTTAGCTCGTTAACGGTGCAAAATACCACCTCAATGAGGCACATTTTCAGAATCAGCGCATTGATGAGGGCCTGTACACCGATTTTCAGCCAAATCGAAAGACCCCGCCGTTTCCCGTTAAACGTTAAGTAGCCGTTAACTCGTTAACGGTGCAAAATACCACCCCAAAAAGGCACATTTTCGGAATCAGCGCAACGAGGAGGCCCCGTAAACCGATTTTCAGCGAAATCGAAAGACCCCGAAATATGCTGCTCAAATATTAACGGGTCGTTAACTCGTTAACGGTGCAAAATACCACCCCAAAGAGGCACATTTTCGGAATCAGCGCATCGAGGAGGCCCTATATACCGATTTTCATCCAAATTGAAAGACCCCGTCGTTTCCAGTTAAAACGTTAATTGGTCGTTAACTCGTAAACGGTGCAAAATACCACCCCAAAGAGGTACATTTTCGGAATCAGCGCATCGAGCAGGCCCTGTACACCGATTTTATGCTAAATCGAAAGACCCCGGCCTTTCGTGTTAAAATGTTAATTAGCCGTTAACTCGTTAACGGTGCAAAATACCACCTCAAAGAGGCACGTTTTCGGAATCAGCGCATCGAGGAGGCCCTGTAAACCGATTTTCAGCGAAATCGAAAGACCCCGAAATATGCCGCTGAAATGTTAACGAGTCGTTAACTCGTTAACGGTGCAAAATACCACCCCAAAGAGGCACATTTTCGGAATCAGCGCATCGAGGAGGCCCTGTATACCGATATTCATCCAAATCGAAAGACCCCGCCGTTTCCCGTTTAGATGTTATTTAGCCGTTAACTCGTTAACGGTGCAAAATACCACCCCAAAGAGGTACATTTTCGGAATCAGCGCATCGAGGAGGCCCTGTACACCGATTTTCAGCCAAATCGAAAGACCCCGCTGTTTCCCGTTAAAATGTTAATTGGCCTAACTCGTTAACGGTGCAAAATACCACCACAAAGAGGTACATTTTCGGAATCAGCGCATCAAGGAGGCCCTGTATACCGATTTTCAGCCAAGTCGAAAGACCCCGCCGTTTTCCGTTAAAATGTTTATTGGTCGTTAACTCGTTAACGGTGCAAAATAACACCCCAAAGAGGTACATTTTCGGAATCAGTGCATCGAGGAGGCCCTATGTTACGCCGCTAGTATCCGCGGCTGAGTTCGTTCCAGCTTCCGGGTCCGCGATCTCGGTCCGCGATCTCACACAGTGTTCTGAATAACGTAATCCTGTATTGGTGATCGGTATCCGGCGGGGGCCGCTGCCCGACTGCTGCACGGCCGCACCGTGCCCGCGAGCTCCACGAGCTCAGCGCCACCTAGCTACTGCACAAAGTTCAGAGGGCAAGGGCTACGTCACCACACACTACCCCCCTCAACAGGAATGACAGTCGTGGCGAAGCAGACAACACAAAAACTGGCCGAAATAAGACTAAACATCCGTCTAAAACTATTTCAAAGCAAAGCCAGTCGCTTCGAACACGACTTTGTGTCGCCGTCACATTTCGGCTATGAGGCGACGCGGCTGCTTCCGCTGCCTGACGGAAACACGCTGAGCGATGCCCCCAGTTGCTGATCCAGCTCCTGTTCCTGTCGCCGATGAGGTCGCACCGCCACCTCTGCTGACCTCCTCCTCGGCACCAGCGTCGCCGCCTGCAGCTACCTGCGCTTCCTCGGAGCTGCCACCGGTAGCGGTAGCAGGTGCTGTCACAGCATCATTGCCCGTCGCCTCTGGTCCGTCTGTGGCCGGTGACCTGACCGTCGTTTCCGACCCGCCGGTCACACCTGACCCGACGATGACCCCCGGTCTGATGGTCACCGGTGGTTCGCCAATCCCTGTGGGTGCCACCGGAACCTGTCCAGTACGGTTCGGTGCTGCCACCGTCGGCTGCCGGCTGATTTCCTCCGCGCCATCGGGCGCTGCAGCAGCCTGTTGGGTGCCCGCCAGACGCAGCTGGTCGGCGTGCCGCGACCAGATCGCGCTCCCCACGTCCACTTCGAACGACAGCGGGCCCGTCCGGGCGGTGATGACTGCCATGCAAGCCGCGCAGTCACGCGCCAGGGCCTCCAGCTCGGCGTCCATGCCCGGCCACCATACGTATCGGCGCGCCACACCTTTCATTTTGGCGCTGCCCAGGTGACCTTGGTGCAGCTCTGCCAGCACCTGTTGCCGAAGGCAGTGGGGAACCACCGTCCTGCCACCCCAGAGCAGACATCCCAGGTCCGTGGAGAGCTCATCCCGCCTCTGACGGAACGGGGCCAGCTCCTGCTCCACCTGTCCGGGCCACCCACTGTGCACGTACGTCAGGACGCGCGACAGTACCCGATCGCGGCGTGTCGCCGCCGCGAGTTGTTTGGCCGTCAGAACCGGAGCTACTCCGTCCATGAACAGCAGATACGAGCCGCCGCTGGTGTCGTCCTCAGCGTCCGCTGGCTCGACCTCTCCGCCTGGCACTGCCATACGAGACAGACTGTCCGCCAGGTGCATGTCTTCTGATGGACGCAGCTCCACATCGTAGATGAAAGCCGCGAGCTGCAGCGCATACCG